TAGCAGATTAATTTCACCAATATCATTGAATAACATATTTCGGTTTAACTTTCATCCAATTTTCCCCCAGATTTTAAACTCGCAATTTGATTGTGAAAGACTTTTCACCTGCACTTTGTGCTTTTATCAAATTCTCAAATTCAATTTTTGTTTTCCTTGTAATTTTTGGTTTCTATTATTTTTTTGGGAATATTTTTATCTACTATTTCTGGTGGTTATGCTTGTAGTTTGAAAATGTTCTTGAAAGTTTTGACTGCACCGGTCAATTGTGTATAGGTTTAGAAAAACTTGAATTTGTCTTCCAATCTGCGCCAGCAAAAGCACCCAATACCATTCACATCCCTTTGGCCCAAAAACTGAAGCAGAGAAAATCTCTCTCTCTCTCCCTCTCTCTGAGTCTGGAAAATCTTAGTACTAACTAGGTGTTAGACCCGTCCGATGGACGGGGAGCACATATACATAGACATTACTACACAAACAAATCAAAAAAATATTAATATTTGTATAGATTTTTGTATTTTTATAAAATATATAATGAATTTATTAAAAAATATAAAACACAAACATCGATAACACTTTACCAAACGAATACACTGGTAATTTATTTAACGCAAAAAAGATTGTTAAGAAATTAAAAAAAAATGAACTTTGAATTAAATAATTATATATCTTGCAATATTTCTTAGTAGACCATATTGGTAGTCTGGGGTGGAAAGGTTGGCTAGGCTGATTAAGAAATTATGATAAGGAATTTTTTATTTTTTTTGAAAAGGTTTATGATAAGGAATGGTTACTACAGAAACAACAACCCTAACTTGTTGTAGAGGCCATCCAATTTTTTTAATAAGTCAAATTAAAAAAATTAAAAAATTGGATATTAGGATCTTTATTCCTTGTTTCGGTGTGACTTCTGATTTCAGTATTTTTATTTTATTATTTTATTTTTTAAATATGATGCATTCTCACTTTCCTTCATTTTTTATATTTTAGCCTCATTTGTTCGTTTGATATAGTTATTTCTCATTACCTATCTAATAATTTATCTTTAATTAACTTTCTCGTTGTCAAAAATATTTTATTTAAAATGTGAGGGTGGGACTATTTTTTTACCCTTAAAGAATATCATTTACCTATTTTTTTTCTTCACGCTTTCGCAAATGTCAAATCTATCCTGCTCATTTTTTTTTTCGAATTAAAGTTAGATTTTTTAGCCCCGCTACATCAACCCATCACCATAGTATTTTAACTCAATTCCATATTTGAAGCTAAATTATAGAAGTTTCAGGTTGGCCTAACTTCTTTAATTATTTTAATAAATTATTAATATAAAATTCTTTTTCAGTTGCGTTTTTTTTTTAGGAGGAAGAGATCCATCCATCGGATTTGCAGGGATTTGGTCGAATCAATATAGGATTTGGATTTTTTCAGTTGCGTATTTTTTTTTTTTGGTTTTTATTGTTTTGTTTTGTGCATTTTTATATCTAGAAAATTAAGAAAATGCCACATAGGATGGCATATACTCCTTAACTTTAGATTTCTCTCTCTGGTTTTTGACTTAGTATAGTATATAGAATAGATTGTGTGCTTTTTTTTTAAAAAAAATTATGGTAATTGCCCAATTCAAATCATAAACTAGATGAACTAATTGTTTTTTCCTTTTTTTTCTCTCTTTTTTTTTTTTACTGATTGTTGAGAGTAAACGGAGGAACTAGATATGAAAACCAGTCATATGGCAAGGTTCAATGATTGATATGAATTGACATTATGAAATGATTTATTTCCTGTACTACTCCTATTATATGATCTTGTAATCTATCCTATCAGGTTATCACTCCATGATCAGGTTTATACACTTTTTACATTAGTATCATGTCAAGTACGATATATTTAAACCAGGATACAACATTTTATAACCTAAGAAATATAACACATTTGAAATTTGAATGGATCTGTTAATCTCAAACTAAAACATTTGCCCCAGTACCACAACTGGCTCAGGATTCTTATGTTGAACTTTTCCAGTCATCACGTCTCTGCTGAATAAAAGCTTACCGGTGCCCACCTGTGAGTTAGCATCATTAAAATTGCAGTGGCACTTAAATATTGAAGTTGATTCAAGCTCAACAAATTGAAGTGTAATGTTCTCTTTCACAGCAAAACTTACAAGAGCCTTATTATTTAATTTCTTCTGCCCCATCTTCAATACTGGTTAGTATATTGGTCAATCTGTAAATATATTCATCATATACAAAAAAGTTCAGCTAAATTCAAAGCTACTCTGTCAAAGTTGTGGTTAGGATACAATTTTATCCAGCTCCGTCCACGGCTAAGGATGACTGACAGAGAAGTATGTCTTTTAAAGATGTTAGAAACTCTATTCCACAACCTCATCTCTATAACGTCCGAAACTTGACTACTCAGCAGTATGGAACTTTTGTTGTCGAGTCCACCTTGGGGACTCCCTCCATCGGCGGACTGAATTCCTGCAATATTAAGAAGGGCAATCTCAAACAGCAGATTAGGTGACGAAAAATATGAACTGCAATATCATCAGTAGTAACATTGATGGCAATCATAGGTTTCTGTTATCCTAAACATGGGGTTCTCTGTTTCTGTTATTCTTGAGCAGGTTTAGCAGCGGACTTTGGTGCTATGGCCCCTATTTTGGTGCTCTCCCACCTGTGATTTGGAAATTGGATTGGAGGGGGAGTGGGTTTTGGAGCTCGGGGGAGCTTTTAAGAACATATATTGATAAATAAGCCGTACCTGATTTAGCAAGAATCTCGTGGGAGCTTCTCTAATACTTTTCCCATCTTGAAGATCGATGGAAAATACTCCATCAAGCATCGCAGGAATGAAGGGCATCACTACTAAAGATTGAAACTCGCTCGTATGTCCTAATGCAATATATATTAGTGAGCTGGTTCTACTGGGAAGGAATTCGTCATTATATATACAGAGGGAAGGTTGAGGGAGCTAATTGTAGTACTCCCTCCGTCCCATAATTATTGTCCACTTTGAGTTTTCATTGTAGTACTCCCTCCGTCCCATACTGATACTACTATTGTAGTTTTTGAATTGAATCGGAGCAGCAAGTGAGAGCCTCCAGTGCAAAAATCATCAGTAACGTATGCTGCAAGTGCAGATTAGTACTCTGTGGCTCACGATTCTCAAATCGGAAGTCTATTTCTTCAAATGATATACTACAACTACAACCAAAATTTATTTCATCCATAAATGTCGTCTGATTCCTGCAATGAAAGCTCTGTAACTACTAACCGCCTCATTTAAGTATATTGATTAATCTTCCTTTTGTACTACTGCTGCTCTCTTTGATCTCCCTTTCTTTTAAATCTTGCAACATTTGGTTTTGAAAAGCTCTGATCTGTTAATTCTTTTTTTTTTTAAGAGCTTGGATATATCCTAATCAACAAAGGTTTATGTTGAATAGGCTTGAACCTGCGACCATTAGGTTAAAAGCCCAATGCTCTACCAACTGAGCTATAGACCTGTTGACATAATGCACGCTGGAACATGGGAATTCGCTTTCCGTGGTGGTACATCAGAAGCAAGGAAATATTCGCAGGCTAATAATCTCCGAGCTCTTCCGTCTGCGAAAGTACTTCTTTCCCATTGACAAGGAAGGATTTCTCAGGGCCTTAACTTCTATCTCTACTCATAATAGTTTCACTTTTCTTCTTTCTTAACTTAAAAGCTCTATAGCGCCTTAGAATGCGCCAGCTAAGAATTTCTTTTTATATTCTCTAAAGGCATCGTTTCTTGTAATGTAGAAATTTTCAAGATTTACGGTGACGAATGTATTGGTTGTAATTGTTAACCTTGTTTCTAATTCCTTATTGAGTTGGATTCTAAAGAGAGTTTTCACTATCAACCGAAAACAGGTGAGAATGTTGGATGAAACTTGTAAATTCTTGAATGAGGTCGGAAGTCGGTACTATGAAAAACGAAAATAATTGTGATTGTGATTTTCCTTTTTTTTCCCCCTTGGACTTGATTGTTAATTAAATTCAATAAATCATTAAAGGAATCCCCTGCTGTTTTTGTTTGGTCGAACTTAGGACCGCAGAAATTGCTACGATATGTGGTGAATGAGGAGCTCAGGCCCTCAACTTCGACAAAGAAAGCTCAGGCCCTCAACTTCGGCAATACTTTAAAGACTGAATTTCTGAAATCAAAGGAGAGCTTTAGAAACCAATAATATATTTTAGTCAGCAAATGAAACTAGCATCATAATCGGTCGTACTAGAACTCAATTTCACAAGGGCGGCAAATTGGGCATTTTTCATCTTATTCCAATTTTACCTCAGAGATTCTGATGTTGTTGGGAACATAAAGATATCATAGACACACGCACATGATCACCAATAGTTGAAACATGAGAAAGAAATTATGGACCTCACTTTTTCGGATCTAGTTGTATCATCAGAAGGTACGGATGGGATCATTTTTTATAAAAAAAATTCAGCAGTGCCACAATTAGCACAATGCTAATGCTAGAAATTGTACTTGAACACTGTCATACACCTACTAATTAACAGTTGCAAAACAGTGATACCGCCAATTGGTGGATTGTTGAAAGGGAAAATATAAACCCGCCCTCAGGGTGCCTTCGTATTGAATAGTTTTCTTCAAGAAAGGTAGTATTTCCTAAACCAACATCGAGAAGCCTATCTGAAATTCTCAACTCCTTCGCTCAAGTTTAATTCTAATTTCAGAAATCAGTGAACCACCAATCAAATACAAATGAACTAATACAAAATGGTAGAAGAGTGCTGTTATGTCCTTAAGCAGCAAACTAGTTCAATTCAGATCAACAGTAGTTACAAAAAGCCATGACTCAAATAGACAAAACGTATAACAAATTGATTGATAGCTATATCAAGGACAAAACCGTGGTGCCATTCCCTAGTTTACACATCACCAAATCTGCTGTACACACAGCCAATTATTATAACAGATAATAGATCGACATTAACTACCTAGTCGGCTCTGGATTGGCCAGCACGAGAAGAAAGAATGATCCCAACAATCAGTCCATAAAGAGCCAACGCCTCAGCGAAAATGAGAATAAGTATCATGCCAACGAAAAGCTTGGGCTGTTGGGCATTTGCTCTGCAGAACCAAAACAATCACATTAATTGTGGGAAACTAATAATTAGTGCCAAGGAGTGATAGTTCTAAAAGAAGAATGAATAAATGGTGCTCCAGAACCAATGCAAAAAGAAAAGAAAAATAAATATAAGCAACTTTTTACTGGTAAAGATGATTTTAAATAGAGAACACTTCCTAACATCCATGACAGTATCATACAACTAGGGCTTACTGCCTGGACAAATAAAATCGGGTTAACAATGATTTTGCATTGGATCTCAAACCTATCATCACAGTAGTGTAGAAGGATTTCCCAGTCTTAACAACTCTGCATATTCTAGGAAGGAAGTAGTATCACAAACCATACAAAATTATCTTCTAACAAGGACCTGTTTCTGTTAACTATTCTTAGCAAGCCAACAAAGAGAGAAAAGAGACAGCTATTCCTCTGAACTCCGGTCATTTCCTTCAATACCAAATGAAGAGAGACAACCAAAGATGCACTCTTTCTCTCATACTGAACATGAACACAAAATTAGAGTAACACAAGTGGATACATCAACTACTTCAATCAGGTTATTATTCAAATTAGCAGATTCATTAACAATCATTAGTCAGAAGAGGATACTGTTCCAAAACCTTTTTGGGGGTCAAGGAAGAAGAATAAAGTTATTAAAAAAAAGGGCCCTAGCTAGATGCCAATGGATGTCGACTTGACTTCTGTAATCAATACAATATCATCTTAATGATGGAACAGGAGATGGATCCTTACTGCCAACCAAAGTGACTTTGTGTGACAATCAGTAAACAAAATTATCTACTTTAACTTCCTAAGCATTCAAATAAATTTCACAATATGTATATAAGGAAATTTGCAGAAAAAAAGTTTCTCATAATGAGGAACAACTCATAGATACTGCAGAAATCTAGATTGCACAGAAAATTAGTCATTTCAATTGCCTGCAGTAACTGGTGGCTAACTGTCAGGTGTGGCGGAAAACTAGCAAATACCATTTAAATCAAGTCAAAATATGTCTTACATTTTCTGCATTAGACTTCATCCGAATACAAGATACTATTAGGATTATAATCTCGAAACCTATGACCTAGAAATAAGTAATGCACATTTGAAAGTCTCCCACCAAGCACGATCAATGTAACAAATCCAAACCCAGATCAAAAGCCGCATTCAAGCCATAGTTTTGGTTGGTTCAAAATAATAGTTTCAGTTCAATACCATCACCACAACACTATAATTCTACGAAAAACACTGAAGCACAGGATCTTAGTTTCCTTCCTAGTATGGAGAAAACGTGGATGCATTTACTCCCAAAGCAATGGCACAAAAACTTTTATCAAACCTCCTCCATATCTAGGTGGCCAAGTTTCGGGTGTGACAAATACAGGAATTTAAACACCTTAGTACAAGAAAAATTGGGCTTGAGCTACACCACAAACATCAAAAAGGATGATCCGTGCAATGTTGATGTGAACTAAAATAAGCATCATCAATCAGAGTAATTCACTTCATCATAAGCATTAATTCTTTGTAAGAAACAGGAAAATCACATAATTGAGATAGGCTATGAGAGTGTCAGCACTAAACAAACAAGTAACTCGAGATCTAGACGAGTTCAAAGTACAAGGAGCCTACCTTACACCAGCATCACCAACAATACCAATGGCCATTCCAGCAGAAAGCCCGGCAAGGCCACAAGCTAATCCGGAGGAAAGATGTGCGTATCCATCAAAGAGGTAGTAAGCCTTGGTCTTAGGGTTGATTCCAGTGGAGATGATGACGGCGATAATCAAACCGTAAATACCCAAAACACCAGCCATGACAACGGGCACGATCGATTTCATCACGAGCTCCGGCCGCATCACACCCATGGACGCTACTCCAACCCCACTCTTTGCGGTTCCGTATGCAGCTCCCATGCCTAATTATCGCAGAAAAATCAAACAATCAAAATAAAAGAAGAATAGAAGAAGTGATGAATCAAGTTAGGGTTCGCGGCATTACAGGAGAAGACGAGCGCTGCGGCAGCGCCGAGGAAACCGAAGAAAGGAGCAGTTTCATCGCCGCTGAATGTTGACGACATCTTTGATAGAAAATATAATTGATCCGGGCCAACTGATCGGAAAAATTGATCGACGACAACTGTAGATTTGGGAGTGCAATTATTGGGGGATCCTCGACCTTCTTTCACAGTCTCTTTCTTCTGCAGCGATGGGAGTAATTAATTTGATGTATCTGACGCTGCGTTGTACCTCCCTGGATCACAAGTTTTTTTTTTTTTTAATTACATCACGAAATTTCTGCGAAAGTTGTGGGCTTTGTTCGTTCGTAAAATGTTCTGGGCTTTTTTAATCTGCAGTTCACCATAATAGTGTTAAGCTTAACAGGCCTTTTGGCATCATCTTAGTTGGATCTTATATAGATAGTGGGATGTGGACAATGTTGAATGTGGGCCTTTTTCCGTTGTGTTCAGATATGATTGTATTGTACACTCTTATCATAAGCATTGTGCTATTTGTAATTTTGTGTTTTCTTTAAAATTAAAAATCACTGTAATTGACGATGGACACCTTGCAAACAAAAAAAAAAAAAAAAAGCAAAACAAGTCATTATCACAGTCTAGTTAAGTATCCCTTTTGTCCTAGAAAAATTGTGACTTTTTTTTTTTTTTTGGAAAAGGAAAAGAAAAATTATTCTCTCTTAGTATCACAGTCTAGTTAAGTATCCCTTTTGTCATAGAAAATTAGTACTCCTATAACAAAGAAGATTATGTTAGAAACAGAAGAAATAATATTAATATTTATACTCGAGTTAGGAGTGATTTGTGAAGTTCAAACTTCAAACATGTTTATACGGAAATGAATTGTTTCGATCAGTCTTTATGTTTGGAGTATTAACCTTTAAACACACAGAGCCCTACGTAGCTGACATTTAACTTAAATGGGGTGGTGCACATGCAATATTTTGTCCTCTACAATCTAATTTTACTAATTATTATTTCTTAAGATAGTGCAACTGTGCAAGTAGACAGGAACACATACTCCCCCCGTCTCATAATCATTGTCCACTTTGTCCAAAAAATTTTGTCCCAAAATTATTGTCCAATTTGACTTTTTATGGATCAAGTTACACATTGTCCTTAGTAAAAAATATTATCCATAAAATCTTAGTGGTTAAAAAATTACTTATTTAGGAGTATATCCGGTTGTTTAAGGTAAAATATAATTAAGTTTGACCAAAAATAAAATCTTTCATTTTAGTAAAACTGGACAATAATTATGAGACGGAGGGAATATTATATATACTCCTTTCCTAGGTCAAATGTACACGAGCATCTACATTTTTCACAGTAGTTTGTGTTTTCATTCCCTGGCCTCCTTTGAAATTAATGTGCAAGATAATTAGCAAAAATTAATTTTTTTTAATTAATTACTCGGCTCCCACTTTTGAGCTCTGTCGTTTGTTATCCCAGCTATTTTTAACTCATCCCCACCTACGAACAAAGGAACAAAAACATATAAAAAAGAGGGAAAAAGTAACCAAAGTATTGTTGCAATCCTAAAAAAATGCTGGCAAATTTGGATTTGTAGTGACCAGCCCATGCTTTGGAAATTCCCGGGGGTGGGGACTGAAAACTGAAATGATTCTTCTTTAAGCTATGTGGCCTAGAGGTTGTTTTCGGAATCAATTAAAAACAGAGATCGATGTTTCCCCTTTGTCCATTTGAGACCATTTTCATGTTGCAATCCTACATTGTTTAGCGCTGCCAAAAGTTTTCCCAAAAGACCAACAATTCAACAAAATATGTTTCTCTCTAAGGAGAGATCGTGAATTTCTGATAATGAATTTGTTGTCTTTTGCTTTTCCTTTAATTCCTTACAATGTTATTTTTGCATCCTTATACTCCACATGTCGATCTCCTTAAATAGACACATCTGTTGGTTCTCTACCACGAATTTAGTGATCTAACTATTATGAGATCAAATAATGTCACGAAAACAACCAAACTCTATATTTCTTCTGTTTCAAAATAATTTTTTATGTCAATACGATTTCTATTAAAAATGAGAATTTAAACCAACCAATCATTTTCGAATATAGGGTATATCAATTGCTGTATTTATTTTTTCCCGTGCATTTTTTTATTTTTTTTATTTTTTGAGAATGTTCCCGTGCATTTGGATAGAAGACAAAAATTGTTTTCAGTAACCTTGAATAATTAATATTTTGAAATGGTAAATATATTATCACCTTCAAGGACATCAATTTATCATCATATTATACCCAGTCATGCATGTGAATCCTCCTGTATATGCAGTTAAAATGCAGTCAAGTACAAAGTAATTGAACACCAATGTACAAATTAAATTATAAGAAGCTGATACAATAATCAAATGCAACAAACTTAGAAGTGATATTAACATTTTTCTAGTTTTCCTTTATTGAACCCTTGATGGGAGTCTGCTTAAAGTAAGTGGCCCATGATATTTTTATGATCTAATTTTATAATCAGGTAATAAGTTCTTGTTTCTTACCAGAAATTCGATCATTAAGGACCGCGTGCAACAGTCGTTATAGCGAGTTTAGGCACTCCCACTCTCTCTTTTCTTTTCATATTCTTTATATACCAAATTGAAGAAAGTTCACTTTCACCTTTTTTCCCCCAAAGAGATTAAAGAAGTGGAGTGTGAAGTAAATAAGGATTAATTGCTAACAGGTCTCGGTATGACCATCAATTAGTACGCATTTTCGTCTCTCAACAAAAATTGTTTGTTGATGAACTTTGTTTTTAGGATAAAATAGATTGTATTGAACCAACGTGGGAGTACTAATTTTTGTTTGTAACTAATGATAATCGAATGAGATAATAAACGGATTTTTGTTTTTCTTGCTGCCATCTTCAATGTTGTCTCCTAAACTCGTAGTTCAATACAAGGTTTGTCAATTTATAGTATACCATCCATTCTAAAATTATTATCCACTTTGGATTTTTTTTTAAATTAAATTATATTAAAAGCGAAAATCCGATCTGGACCATAATTTTGGGACATAGGGAGTACTTTTCTTGGCAAGGGTTACATTCTCAACAATGAACTTACATACTCACTCTGTCCCAAAATTATTATCTAGTTTAGATTTTTACTTTTAATACAATTTGAACTTCAAATAAACATTTAAATTGGATAATAATTTCAGAACGAATAGTGTAATTTATTTGATAACAGTCAAACACTATAGAGCTTCGTGTAGTATAGTATCATTTTTTAAGGAACCATCATTTTAAACAAACACATGTCACGTATTCTTGTTAATTTGATGAAGCAATTGTATGAGATCGCTTTTAGCAAATACTACATTCATTTCAAAAATATAAATTCACTTTAAATGGTACAAGAATTAAGAGGTAATTATTAATAAATATAAAAATTCTATTTGACCCAAAATTAATTTCTGTTGGGACTCCCAACAAATGGTTGTGAGTATTGAGATTCTATATGTAGCATTAAAAGTATAAGGATTATTTAAAAACATTTGAAAACATTATATATTCCAAAATTAAGTGGATTTAAATTTTTAATATAATTTAAAATGATAAATGAACTTATATTTTGAAAAAGAAGTAATACGCTTGCATGTAAATGAATTATTGCCGGGAATTGAATGACTTCCTAATAGTTAGATTGTTGTATTTTCTGGTAATAAATCAGGGCTCGATTCCTATCAGGGGTTGTAAGGGGGTTTTTACTCACATTTAAATAAGGTCCACTAAAATGGATTTTTTGAAAGAAAAAAAAAAGAATTATTGCCAATAATAGAAACGAGGCCGAATCACCTCGTGCAACAAGACAGGTGTAATCAAAATCCTCCATTCGACTTCAGTGACCAGCTAGCTTGATAGAAATGATAAAGAAGGTAGAGAAAAAGAAAGAAATAAACCAAACGAATTTTAATAATTAGCTTTTTGACAAACAAACAAAGATTGCTCGTGAAGGCTGAAAAAAAAAATGTATATGCACTAAGATCACAAAATGCAAAATTCAAGTCTACAAAACACAATAGGCCACAGAGAGAAATCTAAGTAGTCATATCCCAACGCGGTATCATCGATGATGGTTAATCTGGTCGGACCCCTCCACTAAATAATGGCACTGAAAACATAACACCAGAAAAGAGATCTTTCAAATATTACACCGGGCCAATATCCAAATTCAGGCCAATTCATCACCATGCATGTCAGAACTGAAAAAGAAAAAAAAGAAAAGAAACCCTAGTGCCAATCCTAGCTCTTATATATTTGTCCAATTAACAACTTATAGAATTGTTTGAGCATGAAATGAACGAATGAATTAAGCACACATGACAAATATTGAAATAATCCTTACAATTGGGATGAAGTCATATGCAATATTCAAGTTCTTTTGTTTTTTTTTTTCTTTTTTCTGAAAGTGACTCGAAGACAATCTTCCTTTGTTTGTTTGGTTCATTTTGTTTTGTTTCGTGAACAAGCTAGCTAGTTCTACATAACTTCGTTGTACAAAGTTTGATCCATTGGAAATTCAAATTGATGATCATCTATTCCAATCCCATATGTGTCTGCCATATATACACTTTATTGCTTCTCTTACTCATTTCATATCTTTTCTCCAACACATTTCATTAGATCTGCTTCGCTTCTACTCCTCGTGTATCAAAAGTCCCTACATTCACTCACAAATTAAAAAAAAGGGGGATAACACTATTTGCTTTTGTTCCTACTGATTCTAATATCATAACCCTAGCTAACCCGCTTGGTTTGTTCTCTAGATTTGTCCATTTGGACTAATGGATTTTAACACCCCCTCTCTTTTTTTGCCTTTTAAGCTCACTAACTTCATTAAGTAGCCACAGATGTCCACTCTCTCTAATTCATATCATGGTCAATCATCATACCACACAATTGACAAGCTACTGGGAAAAGAATTACTAATTACCGTTATCATGTTTCTCTTCTCTCCAGAATTAATGAATAAATATTTGGCATCAAACAAATTGGTAGAGCTCATTATATAAGCCTAAAAGTGCTAGAATTTTTCAATCATGGTT